CCCACCCCCGTGCTGCCTCTGCCATTTGGGCATCTGGAAGACAAACGTGGAATCTGAAATGGAGACGTTGTGCCCAGCCTCATCCCCAGGATAACTGTCACCATGGAAACTGGCCTCTCAGGTGTGCCCCCCCACCCCCAGAGGATAAACAGTAAGAGGAGGAGGGGGAGGAGGCAGCAGCAGCTAAAGGAGAAAAAGGACAGTGAGGGGGCTAGGGAGAGAGGGGAGGGAAGAGGGACTCCTCGAGAGCGACCAGCTGGTACCTGCCCACTCCTGGGAGACGTTGAAGATGCTGAGGGCAGCCTGGCCCTGGTGGGGAGAGCTCAGGGACACCTGTGTCCCTGGCTGCAGGGAGACGGGGTGAGAATGCCCGATGGGCCACAGGAGCCAGCTCAGGTCCGTGGCCGTGTGGTGCAGGAGCAGAGTCAGGTTCAGCGTACTGCCAGGCTTGGGCAGCCTGGAGCCCAGGCTCAGCATCCCGGGGACTGCAGGGAGGGGGAGGCAGGAAGCGGCCCTGGAGGGACACAGGCCCTGGGTGCAGCTGCACCCTCACTCCTACCCCACCTCTGACCCCCAGCCCTCCCTCCTCCTCCTATTTTATTGCCCCTGTAGGGGCTTCTGAGGGCAGCTGCTGCAGCCCAGCTTGGAAGATACTATTTGTCATGGGGACCCCTCTGGCCTGTGGCTTCCAAGCCTCCTGGCTTGGGGCTGTGAGCCTCCTTCGGGACAACTAGATCACTCGGGTGGATTGGCACTGTGGCTCAAGTCCCAGGACAGTTGTGAGGATGGCCGTGCTTGGTTCCGCTGCGCATGGGCGCTGTGGGCTGGAACCGGCTCGCTGGCACCTAGCAGCAGCCCACTCTTGAGCTCTCTCCACTCGTCCTGTGTCCCCGGGACCCTGCTGCCCTTTCCTTAGTCTCACTATTTGGGTCCCAAACTCAGCCTGTGCTCTGTGATGACAGCTGGACTTTTCTCCCACCAGGAGGAACAGCTGGAAGGCGGTGGGGCTGGGTGGGGGGCCGGGGGGGAGTGGGGGCGGGGAGGCTCAGAGAGAGATTCCTTTCCCATGGGGCCCTTGGTTTCCAGGGTTCCCACCCTCCTTACCAGGTGGCAGCAGCTGACAGTAGGCGGGCTCCGGATGGCTGAAGACAAGGCAGACACAGGGCTGGTGGCTGTGGGGGTCGGGGCATGGAGAGCGATGGGAGCAGACACTGGCGTTCCACTGGTACCCAGGGAGGCACTCACAACAGAAATGCCCATCTTTCCTGGCATGGCACACTGTGGGAGTGGGGAGTAGGCCGGCGGGCTGAGAAAACCAGGCAGGCAGGCCCAACAACGGCCTGACGCCTGAGAGGGTATAGGAAACCATCCCAGAGTCACAGGGCTGCCTCCCCACAGCCAGGGATCAAAGGGGCCCAGGTCAGCACTGGGCAAAGACTTGGGGGCCCAGGTGGGAAGTCCTGGCCCACAACATTTCTGCCCCTTTATCCTTCTGTTAGCATAGAGCGGGAAGGGGAGGGTCTGTCAGGTGGCAAGGGTGGGGGTGGGGGTGGGGTGGGGGGGGGGGGGTGGGGGAATCTGGGCCAAGAAGCAAGAGCCAAGGGACTCTGGAGGAAACCTCAGTGTCCCCGACAAGCTGGCTGCAGGAGGCTGGGTGGCCTGAGTCCTCCCTGTCCCAGCAGGGGTGGCACTGAGAGGCAGGGTGCTGTCAGATTGCTTCCCTACCTGTGGTGAGGTTGAGACCAGTGAGACTTGTTGGGGATGAGGAGGTCCAGGCAGAGGGAGGAGCCAGGGTCAGAGGGAGCTCTGGGGGCCAGGTCTTGCTGGAGAAGGCCAGATGGACATAGACAGAGACCAGGACGGACTCTGCAGGAGTAGACGGGGCAGCTAGGGGGGAAAAAGAGGAGGCTACGAGGCCAGGGGCCAGCCCCCCTGTGGCCTTCCACACGGATGTGGTCTCCCAGGAATGGGGGCATGGGGGACAGAGCCTCCTCACTGCGCCTTTCTAGGGGCCCCGGACAGGACTCAGGAGGGCAGCAACACCTCCCTAGACTGCGGCCCCTTCAGACACACTGTTCCTGGCCTCCTCCCAACAAGCTCAGTTCTACAGATGACAGTACCAGAGATGAATGGTTTCTTTAGGGCACTTGTTCTCAACCTGTGGGTCGCGACCCCTTAGGGGGTTGAACAACCCTTTCATAGGGGTCACCTAAGACCATCGGAAAACACATATTTCTGATGGTCTTAGGAACCGAGACACCGCTCCTCTGTCTCTAGGCGGGTCCACCCACATGCGATTACCCGGCGTGAAGACTGTTACCCATGCTACACCATGCTTCAACATACCATTTCATTTATTTGTCATTAGAAATCAATATTTCACAATATAGAATGACGTATTGTTTTGCGATTAATCACTGTGCTTTAATTATGTTCAGTTTGTAACAATGAAGATACATTCTGCATATCAGATATTTATATGATGATTCATAACAGTAGCAAAACGACAGCTAGGAAGTAGCCATGAAAGTAATTTAATGGTGGGGCGGGGGTGGGGGGTGTGGGGGGGCGGTCACCACAACATGAGGCACTGTATGAAAGGGTCGCGGCATTAGGAAGGTTGAGAACCACTGTGTTAGGGCCTCAAAGGTTTGGGGCTCTGCCCCAGTCCTCTTTCCTCATCCCCAGCCCCACTCCCAGTTCTTCCATCCCACCTCTGACCATCTCCTCTCAGCCCCCTCCTCCTGGCCACCTACTCACCCGGTGCTGGTGCTCTGCTCTCTTCATCCAGTGGTAGCTTGGACTCCCCTTCGACTTGACTCTGGCCCTGGAACAGAGCAAGACAAGAGACCTCTGAGGGAGGTGGATCCTGATCCTCCCAAGGACACCCTCTTCCCAGGAGGCATCAGGGGCCAGCCTGGCTGCACGGGCTTGACTCGGTCTCTTTGGAAGCTCTCCTTTCTGCCTGAGATCGAGCTGCACATCCTGAGAGCAAAGTGCTCCTAGGATGCAGACCCAGATGGCCCCCGCTCCGGCCTGCAGGCCCCACTGGAAACCAGGAAGCAGGCACACCTCGAGTCAACATGCTTTGCTTAATTCCTTCCTGGGCTTGCTGGCCTCTGGGCTGGTTGAAATGGCTTGGTCTAGACCTCTGGGTATGGGGGGAGGTGGTAGAGGAGGGGGGACTGGGCAGAGCTGGCTGCACCCAGGGACTCGGAGACTCCCGTTCCCTCCATGGGATGTGCAGTGGGGTGAGCAGGAGGCAGTGCCTTCCATTCCTCTCTGGGTCCTGCCCAGGGTTTTCTGGCCAGCAACTTCCTCTCGCCAAATTATAGGCCAAGGCAGGCTTTTTAAAAAATAATGTCTCTCTAGCTATAGTTCGGGATATGTAGCTGGGAGTCCCTGGGTGGTACAAACTGTTAAGTGCTAACCTAGAGGTGGGAGCTTTGAGTCCACCCTGAGGCACCATGAAAGAAAGGCCTGGCTATCTATTTTTTTTTTTAAACCAACGATTCAAAAAACCCCAAAACCAACTACTGCAAACCCTATGGAGATCAGTTCTCTGACCCTGTGCAAGTCACTGGCAGGGGCCTAGACCGGAATGTAGATCAGATACGAGGGGGCTTCAGCACGCTCATGGAAATCTCAAATGAAAAGATCATGGAGATTTCCATGCGCTTTTCTGAACCCCTTTGTGTAGAGCTAGGTCAGTGGTAGGCGGAGGTCCCCCCAGCCCTGGGAGAAGCAGGAAACGGGCGTCAGAAAGTCCTAGTGCTGACTGCTACCCTCCTCTGATGCTCTCCGGCCCTTGGGCACTGCTTTCCCAATCTGGAAAGGTTTCTGTTCTCTTCAAACGGCTGGCTCGAGGGGACATGCACCACAGGCCAGTGTTCTCAGCATGCACATGAGGAAGTCTTGGGAAATAAGACTGACTTCTCAGAGATTCTGAGACAAGCCAGACTCTTCTCTCCAGCCCTTTCCTGGCCACCCGCCTGTTCTCACCCCACACACCCAGAGAGACCCAGCCTCTTGGTCCCTCTCCACACATCCCCTTGGTGCTCACCCATCTCACTTACAGATTGGGCTGCTTGGACAGCCGGTGGTCCCAGCAGGGCGAGAGTCATGGCCAGAAGCAGCAGCGGGGCAGCCAAGCCGACCATGGCTCAGTGGAGCAGTGCCCAAGAGCCCTCCCGCTGCCACCGGATGCAAATTTCCTCAGCGGAGAGCTGGGCTGGGCACAGATGGGGTGGGAGGGAAGGTGGAAGGGAGCCAGGGCTGAATTTACAAAGGAGGTGCCGCAGCTCATGACTTTGAGTCCAATGGGCATCCAGGTCACTGAGGTGCCTGCTGGAACCCCCACCTTCAAGATGAGGGAGGTCAAACTATGCTCCCCCGTGGTCTGGGCCAAGAGCTCTGTGAGCAGAGAGGGCTTGTGGTGAGGCCCTTGGTCACAAGCAGCCCCATGTCATAACAGAGTCAAACCACATTCCCAAGGTTCCAGGAATTGGGATAGTTCTGGAACTTTCTGAAGCTACGATCAGAAAAGAAAGATTCACAATTGATTGCTACCCCCAAGTAAATTACAGATCGACTGACGATTTAAATGTGAAAAGGAACCTGGAAAACATTAGAAGAAATTCTTCACTCACCCCCACAACAGTTTTATTGCCATTCAATTCACATATCACACAATTCAATAGTTCAACCCCATCAAGAGTTGTGCAATCACCACCACAGCCCGTTTTAGAGCATTTTCTTCATTCTTGCACTCATCACTGTTAGCTCCTCATTGACCCCAACTTCCCCTGCCACCCCCCAAGGAATGATGAGCCCAGTTGTTGCCTTTATAGATTTACCTATCCTTTATTTCATGCACCGAAAAACATGAGCAAACTGTACGGTAGTCGAGAGGCGCCAGAAACCAAATCAGTCGAATTAGAACAAACAGGCTTTATTAGGGAGAAAAACCCCAGCCTGGGCGAAGTCCCACAGGCCACAATGTCCAGGCTGGGGGAGTCGCATCACAGGCTACAGGGCTGCTGCTTATATGGACAGGTATGCCCGGGTTCCTGGAATGTAAGGTGTCTTCCTGGTTCCGAGTGTATTC